CAAGGTTTTGTCATCATTTGCTGTTATGTTAAACTTATATTAAAGTTTTTCTTCATTACCCATTAAAGCCGTCTCCAGCCATTATTAGTCTCAAAGTGGGTTCCTCGTCATCGAATATGAAGTATAAATTAAAACTTATACTCACATTAACGTACACTAGGGTGAATACAGTGCCAAGAAAAGGTTAGTGTATTTTTGACATTTTAACAACTTTCTATAGAAGGAGATAAAAATCAAGAAACTAGAGATTAAGATGCAAAAATCATTTGAAGAGGAATATAAATATATAATAAGCCTTATGATATGTTTTTGTTCCGTATAGTAGAGAATTCAAATCAGTTTTACAGATCATCAATGGACCTGTTTTAGTCCGCACTATGATGATTTGTAGTCTTTAATTTTAATCAATAATGTAAAACTTGTTTTCAATAATATCGAGTATTCACTTTAAAAAAAAAGAAGTTCAATAACTATATTTTCAAACGTCGATAGATGGCGCAGCAATCCAAGAAATACGAGAGATCAACAACGAGGGGAGTGCTGAATATATCAAGATTTGTTACTCTCTGTGGTTCGAAAACGAGAATGAAGTGAATCAAACAATTACTGTGGACGATATTCAACCCAACACTACGTTCTTTCAAATCATGAATAAAGCAGCTGAACAACACTCTAATTACAAGTAAACAACAGTTTATTCGATGAATTCCTAGAAATTAAGTTGAAAGATGTATGTGTCAGTGTTGCCCGTCACAGGGTCCCTCAGAGAAATTTCGAGTTCTGGTGCTACCCCAGCCACCCACTATATGCTTCTTATCAGCCAACATTTTGCCGCATTTTTCTCTCTTTGAAAGTTTGCTTTTCCATAACTAAACATAATATATGCTCCTTTCCTACCCTCACCATTATCACTATCCCCAGCTTCAATCCTTCGCCCTCTCTCTTTCTTTTCTCCCCTCCCCACAAAAGAGCAGTGACTTAAGCTTCACAAAAAAACTTAGAAACACCTCTACATCTGAGACGACATATTAGTTGTTAATCAGGCAAGCTTTGTTTGTTGAATTTCGCTCAAAGCTACTCGAAGGCTATCTGCAATATCCATTCCTAATTTAGAAGTGATAGACCAGAGAGAAAACAACTAGTTAACACCACCTACCGCCAAATCTAATAGTGAGATTGACCGTCACGTTATAACGCCCCCACGTCGAAAAGGGCGAGCTGATCTGATTCGAACCCGTGAGTTGTAGATTGCAAATCGCGCTCCCTAACCACCAGGGCCTGCCAACCAGACAAGTGTAGGTTTAGCATCATCGGGTATTTCGTTTTGTACTGGTTTTAAATATTAATATTTCTGTAAAACATACGATGTATCACGGCTCTATAAGATATATTTAGTAAACGGTCTAACTTTACCTCGATTTCATATTAGTAGGAAATGAAGTTATTATAATATTGAGACTGAAACTTTTTTTTTACCCAAAACCTCCACCCACTGTTACATGGTACTCTTCGGTATAACTGGGAGTTCAAGACCATTTGCTTATTACTTTTATACACACTGTAATTCACGTACTCGAGACTGGGTCACCCTCCATATCCCCAGAAACATACCACATAGAGTGTATTTACAAACAAACCTGGATAGGCTTAAAGGTCAAATGAATAAGCCTTGTTTTGTTTGTTTCTTTCAAAATCGTCGCATAAAGTTACACAAAGGGTTAACTGCACATGACCATCCTTAATTTTGAACTGATAGAAGTATAGGGAAAGACAGTTAAGAAAAAAGTACCCGCCGCGCCAACTTTCAGGTTACTTTCGTCTCGTCGAATAAAGTGATTTGACCATCTGACTTATATAATGTCCACCATCAAAGTGTGAAGCTCGTTTTTTTTTGTTTTTGTTTGTTTTTTTCGGAAATGAGTTGCGAACCACGAATCGTTGAATTCATAGTCCGAGCAGTTAACTACTGGGTCACGCCCAGCATCCCCACCCCCATGAACGAATTCTTATTACCGGAAATGTGCTGTCGTGATTGTTCAAACAATAAGCTAACTGTACAGGTTGTAGCTCTTTTTGTATTCGTATTCATTTATGTTTGATACCATTGGTTAACAGAGACAAACATGTTAATTATTTTAAAAGAAGAGAAGAAAAATTCAACTGTTGTAGTGTGTTTACTCTAAAGAGAATATAGAGGCTTGTAAGAAAGAATGTAATTTGTCGAGCTTAGTAGTAAACTCATGTGCGTTGTTTGAGTTTGTATCAATACAGTTGTTGTACAGATTGATGACAGTAAAACGTGTGTGTGTGATAGATTGTTTTTTTGTTTCTTTCCAGTCATTCGTCTGAATCTCCGTTTCATTCAAATACGAAAATTTAACCAATAACAACAATGACACAAAACCATTGTATAATTTATTTGTTTCCAAATGCACGTTGTTGTTTTTTTAGGTTTAAATGGGAATCAACAGCACTTGGTCCATATGTGGTTGAAATTGCTGGCATTGCTAATGATATTGTGAACAAGAAATTTTGGATGCTCTACGTCATGGACCCAGCCACAAATAAGCCCGTATTGTCTAGCGTGGGTAAGAAACTTTGACTATATTTTATTTTCCATGAAATGTGTTCGAGAAATAGACCAAAGTTGTTCGTTAGTTTTCAGTTGTTATCTGAAATCACTCTCTTGATTTTTTGTGTCCCTCTCCTGAAATTTGGCATCAGGTACAAGCTAATAGCTCTCACAGTATCACAGAG